GTACACGGGTGGTTTTCACCAAAAGACAAAACCGAAAGGTGGTTTTCATGATGTTTTGATTGGAGAACCATTTAAATTCATTCAAAAACAATTCCCACACAAAAAGACTCGAAAACCACTTCATTTAAGTAAAAACCACGGCTAGCCGTTTCACATGGTTTTTATCAAGCGACAAAAAACGAAAAGTGGTTTTTGAAGTGTTTTTGATGAAAAACTATTTAAATGTGCCCAGAAGTAAAAACCAGTCATAAAAAGTTGAAAACCATTTGGTTAGTTCGGACGCCAAAAACCAACGCCGAAAACCGAATGCCGAATGCCGGTTTCTGAAACCCGAACGCCGGATGGCTTGGCTTTTGGTTTGGGCGAACACCAAGTGTTTTTAATGTTTTATACATCTTTGAAAAACATTTTTATGATGTGTGAAATGCATTGAAAAGAATTTTAGCCTAAAGAGCCAAGGTGTAAAGATTGGGTCGGTCTTGATCACAATAAAGACCGACTCAACGATGCTAAGACTAAGTTCTTCGTTTGACTCTTGTTCTCATCTTTGGTTCTCGCCTTGTATATTCAATGACTTGTCTCGTTCACGGTGGTTTGGCATTATCAAAACCTGTCATAACAACGAACGCGGCTTTAGTACGAAAATGTGATAAACCCGTGTTTCAACAATTTCCCCCTTTTTGATAATGGCAAACAAGACGGGGTTATGCATAGGAGGATTGATTTGAGACTTAAAAAATGTTCCCCCTTAATAAATGCAATTTAGAAATAGTTCCCCCTCAATCTATGCATAACCTTTATATCTTCCCCCTTTTGACATTAACAAAAAGAATTAAAAGTAAAATTTTATTCATTTAAAAGGGAAATGCAGAATACAACGGATAAAAACACAATCATATTTAATAAGGAGAAAATAAAGAAGATGTCGTGGCGCCGGTGTTGGCCTTCTTCTTTGAAATCTCGGTTTTGGTCCTTGACTTTCCTCTAGCCATTGTTGAAGCGTTTAGAAGGTGAGTAGAGGCTTAAAGTATGCAAGAGGAATGTGAGTTGTGTGTTAAAAATGATCAAGGATGGTTAATATTTATAGGAAAAGAGAATTTGGGCCCTTGGTGTTAAAAGTATGGCTGTTAGGCATTGAATGAGGTGCCCAACGGCTATGATTTTTGAACTACAACAGACTTCCCAGCGATGGTAAGGTTCTCCCATCAATGGGAAGACAGGTACTGGAAAGGGAGGAAAAAAGTGAAGGCAGCCTTCCCAGCGATGGTAAGGTTCTCCCATCCATGGGAAGACAGCTACTGGAAATCCGTTAAAAAATATTTTTTTAAAAAACAAAAGTGTCAAACACCCAGCGATGGGAAGAAGTTCCCATCGATGGGAAGAGGGCTGCTGGTTAGAAAATACTTCCTTCCCAGCTATGGGATAAACCACCCATCGCTGGTTCCCCCTGAGTTCCTCACTTTGATACGTACCTGCAAAAAAAACAACACTTTGGTACCCAAAGTATGTCTATGGGTCCTTGGGAGTAAGTTAACCTTTATTGCACACGCACACACCCAAAATTCGTTTCCTAACGCGCACACACACACGATTAGATGATCGTTTAGGAGTTACTTTGGCCAACCCATGATCTCGTGGTTGGCGGGTTCCAGTCTACCTAAACGGAGTGCCGATATCTCGGTGTGATTTGTGTCGGTTCTGGTAACGGAATGTGGACATTCTTCTTTTCGTCAAAGTAGAAGAAATAATAAGGTTTCTTTTTTGCATTGTCCTGTGGAGATTGTTTATGATCCGAATATCCTTTTCCAAAGGATTTCTTTTCATTAGCACCAAATACGTTGTGTGTTTCATTGTAGGTGAAGTGCCTATGTCTGGTGAAACACACGGGAGCTATATGCCCTACCCTATTGCAGTAGTGGCATACTACGTTTGGGTTGAACATGTGCCTAGGTTGATAATAGTTGCTAGGGGGCCTAACCATATTCATCCTATTTTGAGAAAATATTGGTTTTTGAAAATTCTCTCTTTTAGGTGTCCTAGCATTATTTTGTCTATTTGAAAAGTCATTTCTGTGCATAAAATTATTTTGATAATTCCTCCTAGGTTTCCTAGAATGCTCATGTTCATGACTAACCTTTTGTCTAGGTTGTCTATTATTTTTATTTTTATCTTTCTTAGGTTGAGCTCTAGGTGATTTACGGTTGTGCTCAACTTTTTCTTTATTTTTAGGTTCATCTATTTTCCCAAAGCCTATTCCTTGTTTAGTGTATTGCATAGAATAAAAAACGAGATTAAGATTTTTATGTGGTTTATTAAATTTCTTCACCGTGTTTTCTAACTCAGCAACTTGTTCTTTCAAAGCTATGCAAGAGTCACAATGTTTTGTAGAGCTCTCGGGTTTGTCGGCGCTTCTTTTACCATAAAATTTATTTTCCTCTTTTAGTTTTTTGTTTTCCTTTTGAAGTTTTTCAAACTCAGTTTCAAGATTAGAAAAACATTTCTTTAAAGCTTTGTTGGTTTTAGAAGCGCTAACAAACTCGTCATAAAGCTCTTGGAGAGCTTCTTGCATTTCTCCAAGAGAATAAGAATCGGTAGAAGAAATACATACCTCTTGGTTTCTGTCGTTGGATGACTCCTCTTCTTCTTGAGCTATGAGACAAAGGTTTGTTTCCTCGTCTTCCTCTTGCTCGCTTGACTCATTGCCGGAGTCTCCTCCCCAAGAGATGTATGCTCGTTGCTTCTTGAGCCCATGTTTGTCCTTGGCGTTCTTGGCTTTTGGACATCTCGGTTTGATGTGGCCAATCTCGCCACAGCCATAGCACTTCGGGGAATCGTCATGCTTCTTTCCTTTGCGCTCGTGCTCTTTCTTCATAAATTTGTGGAATTTCTTGATGGTGAGGTCAAACTCGTTGTCTTCATCACTTGATTCCTCTTCAACCATTTCCTTGGTTGCTTTGAGCGCTATCCCTTTATTCTTTTG